ATCCTGCTAAGGGTGTTCGGCATCTTGTGCTTACTTCCTTGCGTACGGATGACAGCTGCGTATGACTTCATTTATTTTCTGGTGCTTTCACTTCCTGAGACAGTTGTAAGCACTACAGTGTCATCTAATCTCTTGTCGGGGCGTGCGTTCACCTGCACTTTTCTGGACAGGATCTACTGCTTTGTGTGGTAAATACGCAGGCAATTGCCAACCATGGGACTTCTTCTATACACCTTGACTTCCCGTCAGTCTTGCCGCAACACACCCAAGACTTACGGGATCATGTACGCCCGGCTTGTCGCCTTCGCGGCTCTCCTTTTCCTGTTCGCGTTGAGTTTGGCTATGAAGAGGAAAACTCCTCCTCACAAAGTACTGCCGGCACGAAAAAATGATGCGTCCACCCCAGCAGCGACCCACTTTTTTCCTTCGTTCAATTTCTTCATCACCGCGAACAACAGTAACATCATCCATCCTCGACCCCACATAGATGGATAGATAGTCTATGCCCTCCTGGCCAAAAGAAGGAAAGGGCTTTAGATGAGGCTGGGGCTACCCCCGGGCTGCTTTTTAGACTACAAGAAGGGCGATCAACACGCGTTTTTACGGTCGACAGCTGTCACTTCTACCTCATAGTGCTGCATCATCGACTACGCAGACGTCAATCCTGTGCCGAGTTTCGATTCAGCGTGTATTTAGTAGCATTGACTGGTGGTTCGATCGAATTCAGTATGAACCCAATACGCATTTGTGTACGCGAATATTGAAGGAGAGGTGTCGCCGTCAACGGTCGCCCCGTTTTACGACTATCATCAAAGCCACCCTTGCACAACGCACCATGCGATGGAAACACTGAGGGCGTCTTCATTTGTGCACACCCCTTCATGAACACCGCGTGCTGCCAAGCACACAATGCTCCTTGATTGACTTCGGGTAAATATTGCGCATCCCCAATGCCGACGGCCACCAACTTTAAATGATGGAAGACAAACATACGACGACAGGTGCTGTCCACGAGAGGCGATATTACCGCAGGCGGCGAATAAATGGCACCCCCCCTTGTACCGACGTCCAAGCCTCGATCTTGCTCCACAACCAAGGAGGCGCGGAAAGAGCTCGATTATTCTACCGGAAGCACACCTCGACAGAGATGTTTCCGAATCCACCGTTTACGGTGTTGGCACACGCTCCTGGCTGAGGAGCTATCGAGCTTTGAAAATCGGTCCGGGGGGGTGCCATCCTCTGCTCCTTACGATAACACACACAGGCCTCCTAGCAGCCCACTCACCCAGCCCCTCCGCCAGCGTCTGTTTTTCTAGATACACCTGTTGCACTCTAGAAACACCCTGTCCCCCCGGAACTCTTGCTTGCGAATTTTCACAAATCCTTTCACAAAACCAAACCGCTCTGTCTGGCTGTTGTCCAGTACGCTCATCTTTGATACTCGGAGAATACAAGGTACTCACAATACCAAGACACCGACTTTCCCCTTGTCAAAAGGGGCTGTATGTCACACAAGCAACGCAAGAGTACCGCTAGTATCTCGCACACGAACGCATGTCCAGGCCGTACAAAACCTACTCCATGTTACCCTTCTTACAACCACATGTGGCACACTGGAAACTGAAAATCAATGCCCTTCTGTACGCGGAGAGGGGGGGGGGGATGACCCCCGGCCCCTACTCCTCCCAACCTGCCCAGAAACCCGACAACTCGTGGCGTCGTGAGTACAAGCAGTGCGCAACAATCGGCAGCGATACATAAAGCAACACATAGAAGCATGCTCGCATTGGCAAACAGGATTGAAACGCCGGAACGCCTCCGAAAAAGGTCGTTCTCCTTTTTCCCTCCTTCGTACCATAGACCGGTAAACGTTAGCACGTACTTCTACAAGTTTTGTTGGGTTCACAAAAGAGGAAGACGAAAAGAGGACAAACTACGACACCGAAGGACACACCGAAAAGCAGATTGGAATGTCGCCTGAACCCCGCCGCCCATCTATCAAAAGTTTTGGAAGGCGGATCCACACCCGATCTGCACCATGAGCAGCAACCCCCAAGCGAAAAAAGCGACTTCATGCACGCCAGCCCTTGACCTTCCGCCCGGAAAAATTACAGCATTTTGTTCATCAACATGCTTGTTGATGCCAGCCACGAATACGAGGCAAAATCAAACCAAGGTCTTCCCACATGGATGTGTCCTCCAGCAAAATACTCTTCCAACTCCCCCCCCGCCCCCCAAAACGTTCCAGCTCAAACCGCTTGCGTGATCGGTGCTCTTAGCCATCTCTAAATCTCTCGCCCCGCTGGAACCATTCCTACTTCTGCAGGCTCTACTCTTGCAAGGCGAGGTAGAGGAGGAGAGGAGGAGAGGGAGAGAGGGAGAGGGAAAGAGGGAGGGAACGGAGAGAGAGGGGGAACGGAGAGGGAGGGGGAGAGGGAAACGGAGAGGGAGGGGGAGAGGGAGGGGACACAACCGGGTACTCACTTCAGCCCTCGTACTCAAGTGCCGCCCATCGTGCTGCCAGCTCCCCGCCCCCCAAGCTGCTCCAATCTTCGGGCGCTCGACGTGTACACTCTGCTCTGCGCAAGCTCATTGACCCATGCACCCAACACCCAATACATCATGCGGCACAACTTCACACCATGCGGTACAACTTCGCGAAATGTCTACTTTCGCAAAAAATCTCCACACCGTTTAAGAGCGGAGCGCCACCACGCAGCACGCCCGCTGCTGCTGCTGTGCTTGGCCAGCAGGAAGGCAGGACGAACAGCATGTCGGCCCTACCCGTCTCTCCAGCGCCGCCGCCCGCGGCGCCTGCTCTGCGCGTACAGATCTGCTGCAGTTGGCCCGGGGGGGGGGGGCTGCC